CCAGACCAGCGATTTTTCGCCTTGGCAGTACATGAGCCCGGAGTCTGGGCCCCGGATTTGGGCGTCACCACCGCTGCCAATCGCCGCCCATCAACTGTCGCCGCAGTCACAGGCTCTCTCCTGCATCATTTTTTTCCAGCCATCATCACCGGGCGTCGACCTCTCTCGCGACCTGTACCTCTCCTCGCCAGGCCCTGCCGGTGCCTTACATATCATCGCTTCGAATCCTCTCCAGTTCCCCGCCTCGTGCGCTCCGCTTCTCGCCTGCCCCCTTACCATCAATCTCGCCCCTTCAGAGATTGTCACTCTGCACAACAGGACGATAATCAGAGCCGCCCCCCCTCCTCACATCATTTATCACCTGCAAGCAGGCACGTGCCTCGGATTAGTGTTGCCCTGTGAGAACCGGTGAGTATTCAGCTCCAAATCCCGGCAATTTGTTCCCATCTGCGATCTCGGACGTCTACCAGTCAGAATCAGAGCCAACTCTTTCTGCTGGCGCAAGTCTCGGCACCCTACCCGCCAAGCTGTCTTGTCTATCTTTTGATAGTCCCGTCGCCTGGCTCCCGCAACCTGTCTCACAAACATCGATATCCGTCAGCCACGCGCAACGACCAGTGCGGTTTTGGGATTCTTGCAGCAATTTGCTGACCTTTTCGAATCCTAGGTAGCAACTATTCATTCAGTAATACCACCCTGGCCTGCAGCAATCGATACCCAATCCGACGGACGTCATTCGTGCCGAACACACCCTTTCCTCACGCACATCTAGTCGGATTCGTCGAGGCGCTTGCCCAAGTCACACAAAACGGACACTCTAAAAGGCTCACGGTCTGTCCCTTTTTCCGTCCTCGGCAGATTGTTTCACCCTCCCTAGAACCGACCAAGCTTGTCAGCAGCGGATTGCAAATCAATAACCTTTCGGCAAGGCTGATTCCAGAGGGCGGGCGCAACCCTGCGGAATTTGAGACAGGTGTCACACTTCCTTGTCGAGTGGGATCTCCAACTGCAAGATGGGTAATCAGAGTTCCAGAGAAAGTGGTTCATCCAAGGGACCTGGAGCTTCGGTTGGGGACAGCCTGCAAAAATATCCGTCGTTCAGCAAGTCTGACACGAAGGAATCGTCACGATCGTTCCGTTCTCTCCGATCCAAGATCCCAGGAAGTGGCAAGCTAGACAGCCCGCGAGCCTCGGCCATTCTATCAAATGGCGACTCGGGTGATAAAACAGCAGACGCGGCGTCGGTCAGATCGGGGCGAAGCGCACGATCCAGCGCGTCCCGGCCAAACCGACCCGACATACCAAATCTCAGAACGGATTCAGTAGACAACTCAGTAGAATCACCTCTTTCACCCACCTCCGACGACCAGCCCCCACCCTCCCCAGTGCAGTCTCAGTCTGTGAAGAACAGGCTTCATTCTGACCTGAACGCTGCCCAGGCCTCGGGCGAGGTAGACCATGTGTCCGACCAACCACCGACATCTGTAGCGAACGCCAATACAAGCACACAGTCTCCTGGCCAGTCCATCCTTGTGAGGCGTGAGAATGCGCCCAACCCAATCCAGCAGGATTCCGCGACGGATTCGAGCAAGACCGAAACAATGAACAATGTGGCCATGTCGGACATCAAGGATATTGATCTGGATGATTTTATCAAGCGCCTACTTGATGCGGGATATGCTGGCAAAGTCACGAAGAGCGTTTGTCTAAAAAATGCAGAGATTGTAGCAATCTGTCAACGAGCAAGAGAAGTATTCTTGAGCCAACCGGCACTCCTCGAACTCGACGCTCCTGTTAAGATTGTGGGCGATGTGCATGGTCAATATACTGACCTTATTCGAATGTTTGAGATGTGCGGATTTCCACCCAACTCAAACTACCTCTTCCTCGGCGATTACGTTGACCGGGGCAAACAGTCCCTTGAGACGATATTGCTACTTCTTTGCTATAAGCTCAAGTTTCCCGAAAACTTCTTTTTGTTGCGCGGCAATCACGAATGCGCAAATGTCACAAGAGTCTATGGCTTCTACGACGAATGCAAGCGAAGGTGCAATGTCAAGATTTGGAAGACCTTTGTCGATTGCTTCAACACTTTACCGATCGCGTCCATCGTTGCAGGGAAGATATTCTGTGTCCACGGCGGACTATCACCCGCTTTGAGCCAGATGGATGACATTCGAAACATTGCTCGTCCCACGGATGTGCCCGACTACGGCCTCCTCAATGACCTCCTCTGGTCTGACCCTGCCGAAATGGAACAGGATTGGGAGGCCAACGAGCGCGGTGTGAGCTATTGTTTTGGCAAACGAGTCATCACAGACTTCTTGGCAGTTCATGATTTCGATTTGATTTGCCGGGCACACATGGTAGTTGAAGATGGCTACGAATTTTTTAACGACAAAGTCTTGGTAACCGTTTTCAGTGCACCAAATGTGAGTTGTCTATCCATGATCTATTTCTCAGTTCAAGTTTGTGTCACTAACACGACATAGTACTGTGGTGAATTCGACAACTGGGGGGCAGTGATGTCGGTGTCGGCCGAACTGCTCTGCAGCTTTGAGCTGCTGAAGCCTCTTGACTCCAGCGCACTCAAGAGCCATATCAAGAAGGGACGGAACAAGCGACAACAAATGCTGAACAGCCCCGTGAGTAGATTTATTCCGAAATCGTTTCTCTCCGCATCATGCAGCACTCTAACCTTTCCTTAGCCTGCGAATGTGCATCCTCAAAGCGTATGAGTGTATATACAGATATAGGGGCAACCCTGGGTTATTCGATCTAATTCAGATGCATCTCGATCAAGGGGCGTCGAAGTTGTTGACGGCTCGGGAGAAGCGGGCGCTAAGAACACCTCACGGTCGGTTCGATTATTATTAACACGAGGAGAGGTTTGAGGCCAAACTATAGTAGAGCGATATTGAACAATGGCGTCCGGGGGTCAATGCAGCGAGGTGAAACTCGAGGCTAATGGCCATCGTCTAACTTGGTCCCTTTGTTGAAGGATGAGACGTAGCTGTCTCTATCCACATCCCAGAAATGGGCGTTTCAACACAGGGATCAAGTCATATCAATCTCAATATCATACTTCATGGCGGTTTCTGGGGATATTCAATCCAGGATCCTGCAGGACGACAACCTGTGTAGAGATATTCCGAAAGGGCAGAGAAGGAGTGGATGCAAGCGTGGGTGCCGTTTCGTCTGGGGCTTTATACGTATCCCAGTATGTATTTTATGCTATGGCTCGCGCAAATCTTGCGTCACACTTAGTTCTTATCGTTTGAAGGAGTTTTCATAGTTTCAAATTAATACCCAACCTGGTTACTGCATCCATACCAAGCCTTGTCGCCGTGATTGATGTAACGTAAGGCATTAAATGACGAACATTCAAAGCGAGACTCAAGGTTAATAGATAGCATCATTCCATTTTATAATGTCTCAATGGTTGAGAGGGAAAATTACATGAAACGAGACTTAAGAAAGTCATCTCATGATAGTCAGGTCGTTGAAGCATAGCAGTTGGTGTGACAAGTGGGCGGATATGTGGGTCACGTGAAATCCTGGAAACTTTTTGATTCAGTGTACAAGCCGTTCGGCAATGTTCATCATCGCCACTACTTGCAGCCAAGCCATCCTCCTTCACACCTTTTGCCGTCAATGCATGGGAATCCTGCATAAAAATACGGCCATGATTGGACGACGAGCTTTCCGCGCAGTCTGCGGCCGCACGCGGCCAGAATTGGAGCAGGCAACAGACAATGTCTCCAGCTACTTCCGCCACTTCTCGACATCGAACAATTGGCTCGCCGACGAGGACAGCAATAAAGGAAATAGCGCACCCCCAAATCTCCGACAACGCTCCCTCGATACTGCGAACGAAGTCAAGGCCTTTGCAAGAAACCGCGCCAGTCCTGCCCCGGCCAACAGAGCTGCGAACCCCGAAGGAACTAGCAACCAGCCCAAAATCATTGATGTCAAAAGTCTACCAAGAGGTGGCCTAAGAGGTCGTGGTAGAGGCCTTGGGCGTGGATCGATGCGTGGCGGCGCAGCTAACCCCCCTCACCTACGAGGCCCGTCACCCGCTGGGACGAACCGGTTCGCTCGTGGTGGCCTTGCGGGTCGTGGTAGTCGTGGTGGTCGAGGTGGTCGAGGTGGAGGTGGCCGGGGAGGCAAACGGCGAAACGGTGATCAGGATGGCGAGAATGTTGAGAAACAGGAACGTGAACGTGAAAGGAGAGATGAAGACAAGGAAAAGAACAAACTGGACCCGGCCGAGGAAGCGCTTGAACAGGTTGTTCGTTTTGGAACAACCGAGGTCTTCAACCCAGCGCCAGTGACTGCGGAGGCTCTGGCTAACTTCATGCCTAATGTCCCCTCGGCATCAGGCAGTAAATCGGCCACCGTGCTGGAAAACCTCCAATATCTCGGCACCGGAGACCGCGTCGGCGCTCCCCTGGGCCTGCAAGCCAGCGGCTACGGAGAGCGGCTCCAACGGGGTGGCCTGCTTTTCTTTGCTGATCCGGAAACCAAGGCCGGTTTAGAGCAAGCCATGCAAGAGAAACGCTACGACGATGCGGTCACGCAAGCGCATATCAATGCTGGAGAGGATGAGGAGCCCGCTCCTGTCGAGAGGAACAATGAGGTGATCATGATGGATGGGATTGAAGAGCCCATCAAGCAGGTCATCCTAAACAAAGCAGTCGCCGGCCAGCATGAGGCAATCAAGCAAGCCTCGGATCCGGTGGGCGTGGCACGCAACTGGCACTTGAGGTCCGAGACTTGGTCAGAGAAGGAGACGAATCTGTTTGAGGCAAAGCTCACTTCCTTGCTGAACAAGGCCAAGACGCAACCCCGGGCCAGATCTTGAACTGTATGATATAGCTGAATGTGTGTGTACACTTTGTGTAATAATATTACGATACACTGGTCTTTTCCCGCCCAATTTTTGATAAATGATATGCCTGCTTTTCTAATGTACATGTAGCTACGAGGGGTAACCCCCGCTACAGCGACGAAATCGCCTTGGCCTCCTCGCCATCAATCTCCTTCATCTTCTTGTCCTGGAGCTTCTGGAGCTCCTTGTCCGCCTTCCTCGCCAAGTCGGTCGTGATGGTCTTCTTCTTCTGCCAGTCCTTGATATGCTTCTCGTGCTTGGTCCTCGCGGCGCGCACGCGCTCGCGCCAGACCTGCGTGGCCTCCTTGACGCGGCGGGCGACGTCCTCCTTGCGCTCCATCTCGACCTTGAGCAGCAGCTCGAGGTCGTTGTCCTCGGACCGCTGGGGCTGCTGGTTGTAGTCGGGGGAGGCCTGGACGGCGGACATGATGGGCTTGATGTAGCTGCGGTCGTGGACGAGCAGGGAGATGGTGCGGCCGGAGCGGGGCACGATCTGGGCGAGCTCGGAGAGGGGGAAGTCCTCGGCGACGGTGGTCATGACGCCGCTGGCGTCGTCGGCCATGGCGTGGGAGGTGACGTGGACGGTGAGGGCGCCGAGGTTGGTGGGGTTGAAGCGGCCGCCGTGGGAGAGGGCCTGGAGCTGGGCCTTGAAGTGGAAGTCGATGGGCCCGAAGGCGCTGATCAGCGCGGTGAAGTCGAGGGGGTCGACTTCCTCGGCTGCGGCGTCGCTGGGGGTGGAGGGGGCGGCGCCGCCCTTTCGCTTGCCGGAGGAGGGGGGGGCATCCTCGACGGCCGCTTCATCGGAGCGGGAGCCCTTGGGGGCGGCGATCTTGCGCTTCTTCTGGAGTTGCTGGGAGGCGCTGAAGAAGCGTGTGGGAGCGAGGGGGGAGGCCTGGTAGGCGGGGGAGCTAGAAGCTACTGAGGCTCGCCATGATGCGGCTGGGATAGCTCGCCTGTTGGAGGGGTTAGCATCATTAGAGAGGAGGTGGGAGGAGGGGGCTTGCGTACTTCTGGATGTGGGAAATACAGCTGAGGCATTGCCTCACTGGAAAATTGGCTCTTGAGAGGGACATGCTGGTGGTCTTGAGACTTGAAACCTCTTGGACGTTGATGAAAGGGAAGACCGTTCAGAAGTTTCAAGGCCTTGATAAGATAAGGCTCTTGCCGGTCAATGCTGCAAGTACCAAAGCAACACCCGGATTAGCAACCACGAAAATACATGCTTGACTTCATTGAACAAACGAAATATCGGCAAAATTGAAACAATGGTAATTCAGGGAAATCCGGAGAGTCATTGAAGTCTTGACTGATGTGGAGCGAGCCGGATTGCTCGAGAGGATCACTACAAACGTCCCATATAGTAGGGCTCGCCCGCTAATCTTATCGTCTTTGACATCGCTTGGTCGCGTGGCCCAGTGGTAAGGCGTTTGGTTTACATTCATAAGATGTATGCCCCCAAAAGATCGCAGGTTCGAACCCTGCCGCGATCATTTTTGCTTTTGCCACCCCAAAATCAGATCTATTGCTTTCATGAGAAACGGTACTCTTTTTTGTTTTAGTTTTTTTTGTTCTGTGAGGTATTCGGTGACAACCGCAACGTTCGCGTAGATGCGGCCCTCGTCCTACCCTAGAGACGGTGTCTTGCTCTGATAACTCCTAATAAGTCCCCAGTTGATCTAAAATTTTGTAATTAGAAAGGTAGTGTTTTCCCTTGATACTTCCAGTATTTGTTTTTGGTTTCATAATGGCTATTTGGTTGCAATAAGCGATGACTTTTGGGTGAGTCTAGGAATCAAGTTCGTTCTTTTGCATGCTTGCCTCTCATAAAAGGCACAAAATTTAGGAACATGGGCTACTTTTCATTTAACGGCATTAATTTTTAATAAATATGTGTACATACGCCCTACAGCTTGCCTTGTAAAGGTTTGCCCATATCGCCAAATGTGACTGACTTGATCGTTTGGAACTCGGCCAGACCGTACTTGGACCCTTCCCTACCGAAACCGCTCTGCTTGACACCGCCAAACGGCGAAGCCGGGTCTGAGATGATTCCAGTGTTGACACCAATCATGCCGACTTCAAGAGCCTCCGCGACTCGGAACACCCGAGAAATGTCACGAGAGAAGAAGTAACCTGCCAGACCAACATCGGATTGGTTCGCTAAGCCGACGACTTCAGCTTCCGTCTCGAAGGAGAAAACTCCTGCGACAGGACCAAAGGTCTCTTCGGTGGCGATGGCCATATCAACAGTCATGTCGCGAATGACCGTGGGTTGGAAGAAGTTGATACCAAGGTTAGGAAGCTTCTGGCCACCGATGGTGACGGTGGCACCCTTCTTCTCGGCATCCCGGACATGGGAGTCGACCTTGTCGACGGCACGGTCGTGGATTAGAGGGCCATGGGTGATGCCCTCGTCGAAGCCATTGCCGACGGAGAAAGACTTGACCGCTTCGGTGAACTTCTGGATGAACTGGTCATAAATACCAGATTGAACGTAGAGGCGATTGGCGCAGACGCAGGTCTGGCCTGACGAGCGGAACTTGGAGACAATAGCCCCGGCCACCGCGGCATCCACGTCGGCATCGTCAAACACGATGAATGGCGCATTGCCACCAAGCTCCATGGAGAGTTTCTTAAGAGTGTCGGATGATTGCTTCATCAGGATCTTGCCCACACCAGTCGACCCGGTGAATGAGACCTTCTTGATGGTTGGGGAGGTGGTGAGCAGTTTTCCGATCTCGATCGTGTTGTCAAGCGCCGTGACGATGTTGACAACACCCTTGGGGATGCCAGCCCGGTGGGCTAGCTCGGCCAGCGCAAGAGCCGTGAACGGGGTCTCGGCTGGAGCTTTGCAGACCACCGTGCAGCCCGCCGCCAGCGCGGGGGCAACCTTCCTGGTGATCATGGCGGCGGGGAAGTTCCACGGCGTGATCAGACCGCAGACGCCCACGGGCTCCTTGACGGTTATGATGCGGTTGGAGGGGTTGGAGCTGTTGATGGTGTCGCCGTAGATGCGAGGCGCCTCCTCGCTGAACCACTCGAGGAAACTGGCGGCGTAGGCCGACTCGCCCTTGGCATCGTTGATCGGCTTGCCGTTCTCCCATGTGATGAGCTTGGCGATGTCTTCGGCGTTGGCATTGAGCTCGTCGAACCATCTTCGTAGCAGCTTTGCGCGCTCGCGGCCGGTCTTTGCGCGGAAGGACGGGAAGGCGTCGGCGGCGGCGAGGATAGCCGAGTTGGTGTCTGTTACGTCGAATTCGGGGCTGGTTCCGACGAATTCACCTGTCGAAGGGTCTAAGAAGCGAGAAAGTGTGTTAGTTGTACGGGGGACTTCAATTGGCGCCAATGGTGGCGGTTGAGGCATGGGGACGTGTGCGCATACCATTCACCTTGAAGGTCTTGCCGGACTTGGCGGCCCGCCACTCGCCATTGACATAGCAGACATTCTGCTTGAACAGAGAAGGATCGTTGAGCTGCCGAGGGCGAGGTCAGTGCGGGTGCTCTTGCGGACATGGAAGGCTGACCAGGTGCTGCGGGACGGACGTACCTTTGGAGGGGCCATTGAGGAAGCTCTGCGAATGCTGATGATAGATGCTGTGACCCCCGGAGAGAAGCGAAGGGAAGGCATCGCTGCCCTTTTAAACAACGCCATGGCTGCGGATGGAGGCCGAGTCAATCAATCCACGGCTGATGTGTGTGAGGGATCCGGGTCTCTTTTTTTTTACCCGAAGAGAGCTGAAGGCAGTTTCGAAAGGCTCCCCCGCTATGAGATAGCTCCGATGGAGGTGCCGATGATGCTAGCGCCCACTCCAAGCCGCTGAACCCCGAGATCTGTGCCTAACTCCCCGGAGTTCCGGCCGTTTTCTGTGTTTCACGGACCGGGTTTTTTCGTCTTGGCTGATTATCAATGGTCGGTTCTCTCTGTTTTCCAACCTCCGAGATTTATAATCGATTTTTCTCTCTTCATTAGGCTGCTCATTGGGGCCGAAACCGCAGTTGTCGAAGCCCTTGATCGATGACGTTTGGGAAACGCCCCCACTGTTAGCATCTGCCGTTGGGAATTTCCAGTTCCGGCAAGTGTGATGAGAACCACTCGAGTGGGTGACATTGAAATTGAGACACTCAAACATTAAGCTGCTTATTGTCAAGTCTGCGATCGGTATTATCAGATTATTGAGTGCTAATAATACATACCACAGAGATAATATAGCAGATATTATCACTTGACTTCATTTATACTACTGGATTTCTCTATTAATTGTAGAAAGGAGTCTGTTTGTAACAAAATCTTCCATTAGGTGTCTCATTTCTCCTGTCACCCACTTGCCACTCACCGAGTTGCACCAGACCGTTCTTGAACGACCGGCTATAGGATTTACCATCAACAAGACATAGCGCTCGATTGGCTATTTCGCACTTTCTTTTCCCCGAGCGGGTTATTAAATAAACGACTTTCAACTGAGGAGGATCTCAAATGTTCTGGTAGAAGCAGTCGTGAGCTCATAATGTACTTTCAATTGTTCAAGCCCCCATTCCCATTACGCCGCTATGAAACTATATGCTGTCATATCCGGGTGCCTATACATGAGCGTCTGCCTGATGCTCGCTGAGCAACCAAGAAACTAATACCTCTTCCGCCTATTATTCGACAGAAAGGCTAAATGCATAAAAGAAAGAAAAAACAAGACAATTCTCAAGATCATCGCGCTATCTTAGGCGTATCTCCCTGCCTCGGGCTTCACGGATGAGTTGTGATCAAGCGTATTGAAAGCCTGGGTCCTCGGTGTGAAGGGTGTGAAGGGTGTCGAGGTCACAACACCACCGCTCTTCATGTTGCCCATCTCCCAATCGGGAGAGGAGTGGTGGCTGACATTATCATCGTCGTCGTCGTCATCAGGTTTGCGAGGGCAATCGATCGACTTGTTGGGCAACATGGCGTGAATGGAGAAACCAAGGCCGATGAGGTAGATGGTTCTGTTGGATATCAGTTAGTCATGGTCCTACCAGTAGACGTTCGGGGGGATATGGAAATGGGAAGGGCGGTTCTTACGACATGTATGCCGAGATGAAGACTGCGGCTTGGGCGATCTGGCACGATTTGTAGGCCTTATACGGCCTTGCCATCTCACACCCGTAACGGAGGTACCAAGCGACTGGCGCGGGATATCGGGAGTCGGTGAAGTCGGGGCCGATATTGCCGTACAAGCTGACCAGGTAGAGGGTCGCCATGGACATGTTGATGAAGCAGGCGAGAACTGGGAACCAGACCCTCATGATCCAGGCCGTGAGTTTGGCCAGGAGCATGAAAAGTGAGAGGACTGAGATGGCAACATTGTAATCGGTGAATCTACAGTCGCATGGATTAGCAAATGGAACTTGGATTCCTCTCATGGAGCCGTAATATTGTCCATCAATTAAAAAAAAAGACAAGGAATGAGACTCACGTTCGCGTCCAGACTAACGCTATCTTAGGGAGCGATTCGTAATTCGCATATGCGTACAGGACAATGTTGGGGTTTGAATTGAGCCTGTTATCCCAGCCGATCCTCCACATGTCGGTGCGATACAGATTCGGTTGCGAGATGCCGAAAATGACGAGGGATGCGACAGTGCCGAAGAGCTCCCAGAGCATCAGCCACCAGATAGCTTTGCGAGCTGTCTTGACCCATTTTCTGTAGATTGGACGGTAAGGGCCGGGATAGGCGAACTTCTCCTTGAAACTGACCATGCTGGGCAGCAAGTCGGGTGTTCACTGAACGATATACAGACACAGCCGTCAAGGCGAGTGTTGGGGTTGGATTGTACCTGGAAGCTAGAACAGTCGCTTCGGCTAGCCCTGAACTGTTTCACATCCAAGACGCAGATGATTCCGGGTTTCTGAGTCGGCTTGTTGCTCGTTCGCCCAGTTCTGTGTGTCCCGGCCACTCGCAGGTTACAAGATGAACGGGGACGGTTTTTTGGATGAGATGCTTTGACCTTGGGGGGTGGGAAAAAGAGGTCAATCATGCGCAGGTCCAGCCAGCCATCTTGGCGGCCCTGGAGGAGGGGGGAACTGGCCGTGTTTAAGGGCCATCCTGTGGTCAGCATCGCCGCCAAAGATTGGACGAGTGGCATGGGGCGGACGGAGGATATCATTGAGGCTGCGGCCAATGGGTTGGGGACTCTAACCGCCGCGCTGATTCTGCGCTGCCATTGGCCTGCTGGATAGTGGAGAGGGTTGCATCAGGGTGTGATGGGTCCATTTGGTGATGAGTTGCACAGCATTGGCGGCTAGGAACCCGGCACCGTGCCTTCTGGTCAGTAAAAAACCGGCACAAGTGGCATCATCCTGCTGGATATCACCAGCCAGAAGGCAAGAAGGGCGCTTGCTGGATGTGATCGGTGTGCGGTGGACCGTGGGACGGAGCCATGAGTGAGGTGAGGTGATGAGCTTACGGGGCTTCAGTGCCGTTGGCCGAGTCTCCTAACCAACATCTCTCTCGGCCCCGCAGCGGCCGAGGGAGAAGGTGAGAGGAGGTAGGCGTCATGGTAGAATGATTATCCGATGCTTACTGGACTGCCTCGATCCTACCAACAGTTACCACCGGTTGGGCGTCGATAGAGTTCGTTCTACTAAGGTGCGGCTATCTGCTTTAGGTGATGTGATCTGCTCGCTCTTTTCTACGTAGTTTGCAGTAAAACGGCCCGGCGAGTTACGTTAAGATAGGCATGTAGCGGGTGCCGTCACTAGATTCATAGCGGAATCAATAGCCACCCATCGTGTTCCTGAGCCGTGACGCTCCATCACACCTCCGTGGGGATTCCGTGCGGCCCTCTACTAAAATGTATTAGGAGGAAAAGACGGTCGGTCGGCAGAACGGACCCTATTACTAACGCCAGCTGGAGGATGGAAAATGGGCTTGTTGACTGGTGGCAGCATATGGAATAGAGTACACACTCTGATCACTTGGCCTTGGCTCGTCTCGGGAATGTAGATCACCAAGCCACATTATAATGCCGAGCGACGTGGTGTGTCTTGTGGTGTCAGCAACAGCAATGCAAGAATGAAAGACCCATGGCGTCAGAAACCGTTATGTCTGAATGGAGCTTGGCAACTACCGGTAGCCCGTTTAGATTCCACTCAAGTTCCTCAGCCAAGACGGGATAGACATGATATCTGCAGGCGTATATGTACCTATTCTGCATAGTATGTGTAGGAGTATAACTGAAGCTCCCTGACAGGCAGGAGCCGCACTATCTCGGCGAGTCTGCACATCACAGGGTTTTCGACCAGGAAGAGTGGAGAGCACCATTAGAACATTCAATATAGGCATGCTGACCGAAGCTGATTGTTTGCAGACGGAAACATGCTGCACCAGTCCATGATCGGAAGCGTTTCGAAAAGACGTGCATGAATAATTCCAAACCTAAATGCCAAACAACTGGGATGGCAGTTTCTTGCGGCTGTTGTAGACACGCCGCGAAGCGGACACGTAAGAGCTGGGGCAGGTCCGTTTCCGTTACACGAAGCACCACAACGAGTCCGATAATGAAGAGGGAAATCGCAAGTTAGCGGGTTTTTGGTGAGCGCCAGCTACTTTACTGAATACGGGCACTACCAGCGCTAAGTATTACACTGACTGCATGTACTTTGGAGAAAAAGAAAGCCAAGGGCAGCCACACGAAAAAAAGTAAACATCCATCGGCCGAGGACTAGAACGGCTCTGCCAAGCGAGACGACCAAAAAAGCTTGCATCTGGGGGAAATTTCCGGTAGCGGTCCAGACCGGTCGATAAGACAATCTTTGCCGGAACTGGCGGTGATGGACACAACGCTGGTGTGGACCCTTCGGTGCCAAGCAGCAGCTGGTGCTGTATGTATTATCTTTCTGCAGAGGACGGCCCAATACAATCCAATACTTCTGCTGTGCTCGCGAGGCGTCACGGCCGGCCGTCGAGGCAATTGCACCTTTGGGCGTGGGCATGGCACTCTGCTCATGCGCTCGCTCTATCACACCGGGGCGGGCCCTGCTCATGCAAGAGTTTAACCGCTGAAACTCTGACAGCTGTCGCATAATTGCTCCTCCGCGTCGGCTCGTCGGATGGATGAGAGCGAGCACCTACATGGCTGGCCTCGTCTCCTATCTCGCCCGCCACTAGTACACAGACAGGAGACGTGGTGAGGCTAGGCAACTGCCAACTCGCCAAGGTCGACACTACTTGTCATCTCGACTGGACCCTGGAGCAAGTGACAGGCACTTTTGCTGGATCTAGGCTGTGTATAGTCTAGAGTGCGGCCGGTATGACCTCAAAGGCGCAATCAAGTACATAATAGTAGGAGGCACCAGCAAATAGTGGAGGTTGGATGTGCGTTACGTAGTACGCAGACAAGCCCGTTGCTCGGATTCTCGTACCCCACCAGCAACGACCTGATTAAAGACGGATTGCAGAGCAATATGTAATAAGAATTACGGTTTGGGGGAAAGGAGCCCCAATGCCAGCGCGAGCTACCAGCTGAGTGTGTGCGTGCTCAGGTAAGGTTGTATTCCATGTTGTGGCCCAGCGGGCTCAGCACGGCAATAATGGCTGGCAATACCTCCGGTACCGTGGGCAGATGCTCCTAATACGGACCCCATTCCATTCCATTTGGTCTCGGGAGACTGGCAGGGTGGATACATGACTGCATATCCCCAGAGCACAGGAAAAGGCACATGTCAGTTACCTCGACGAGATGGGTGAGGAATTGGAGGGGGCAGCCCAAGGCCGTGGCCCCAGGGCAGCTAACGGCGCGTCTCTGAGTTTCTTTGGGCATCAGAGACAACGGGGTCGGCAACATACATGTACACTGGCAGCCAGCAACAAGGCTTCTCCTCCTCGCGCTCTCGCGCTCTCTCTCGTGCATGACCAGGGTCCTCCCTCAGATGTTGCTGCTAAAGTTAGGCCTGGTCCAGGGACCACAAGCTACACACATGCTTCCCCACCCCCTGCTGGGCCAATTTTCACGACACAGAGTCTCGACCCGTTTCGCCTCAGAGCCCATACATCGATCGTGCCCGCCCGTCCCGTCTAGCTTTGAGTGCTGCCACTGCCTCCCTTCCTTTGGCGACGCACCTGCTAGCACCAACCAGGCATGTTTCGACGACGATCCCTCCCAGGCTCGCTCGCTCGCAGTGTCCCGCATACCCACGTTATTCCTGACAGTCGAGCCAGCCTTGGTCCTATCCATCCGATTCCTCGAGACTGAGTCCATGGCAATTCTGGCCAGCCCCAGTACTGAACCAAGCCGTGTGTCTCCCTAGTAGGCGTGCTTCCTCTTCCTTTCGTGGTGAATTCCGTGGATTGCTCTCTCTCCTCTCCCCCCATCCCATCCCACACCACACCACACCATAGCATAGCACATTGCATTACATTGGAGTGCCTTGCATCCGGCTGTGCCTATCCCATCGACGTGCGTCCAACGATATTGCATTCACCCAGGCCTGGAAGAGCCCTCCCCTCCTTTCTACTACCCCCAACCTTGCTGCCTCCAAGCCTACTACCCACTCTTATTCCGTGCCGTTCTTGCAGCAGCAGCTTGCTTGCTTCGTTGCCCGCCACTTGCCGCCTGCATTATCCACATACGACAGCAACACAGCAAACAACCCACCACCAACGCCAGGGCTACTACTAGAGGTACACGGCAGTACCTACAGCGCCTACAGCCCACGCATCTCGAGCCGTCCTCGGGCTGCATATTCCTTCTGCTATCTCTCTCGCATCACTGCCTCTGCTCGCGCATCGCACCCAGTCGCAGCAAGCTGCAGCTTTCTCTCCCCCCACCCCCCCTTGCTCTGGCATTCAGACACCTGATACCTACCTATATCCGCCTCACCGGCCAAGGTACGCGTATAGGACTCCCGTCAACGGTGTTGGAGGCTTGCCTGGCCTGTGGGTGGTCCCGATGGTTTCTCCCCCCAGATAGACGCTACCCATCCTCTCCTCCCCTCCCGGCTGGAGCTTCTCTCCATCGCAGCACGCGAGTTCCTCGATCCCTCGACACGTTCTTCGCTCGAGCAGGGACCGACTCCACTGCAGCTATCTCTGCTGTCTTCGCCGTTCTACCCTTCGTTTTTCTGCTTGTTGGCGCCTCGACCAAGCTCCTGGACTCACTCGTTCACTTGTGTGTGTGGAAAGTCAAGAAACGACAGCAGTTGTTGCTTGAGAACTGCGATCCCAGGTCGTCTAAACCCTGTCTCACACATCGCTCGCTACTCACTCTACCCTCTCTCGCTCTCTTCTGACCTGCTTGCTCTCTCAGCCTGACCCAAGCCAGGCTAGTATTGGTCGGAACATTAACAAAATCGCCCCTCTCTGCTACCCAACGCACCATTCTTGAATGCACAACCCGCGAGCCTCCCTTTTCCCTCGACTTGATCTGCTTAAGAGGTACCTGCTTAGTTGGGCCACACATCGCATCAAGCCCCCATTTATCACATCCAACCTCCCGCCCACCCCCCAGTTTTGGCGCCTTGTAAATGCAGCAACGAAGCGACGACTCTGTCCCGCGGCCAGGTTCAAAGTCTCCCTTTAACAACACCGAAGACATACCCCCAAGTTCTCTCCAGCGAGACTCGAACATTCTGGCAGCGAGCCAAGGTGACTCGGTTCCCAGCACTCACGCGGAACCCCAACATCACCATACTAACTCACCAGAAAACCTGTCAAGGGGATGGCTTCCTGAGAACTCTACCCCTGGCCGCGGCCACACCAG